AAGGAAAGGACCAACTCCGGTTAGCTGTCCTCTGATCTTTCCATGTGTGCCCTAGCATGTGCACACAAATAATAATAATAATAATTAATAAATAAATATATATATAAAACAAAGTATTAAAAACATGCATAAACTTACTGTGCTAATTCCTGTTTGAACCAGAGAAGAAACACTGGATACTTCCAAAGAATATAGTATTTCCATTGTAGGTAATAAATAAACCATCAGGTTTCTCATCTAAGAGAAATAGAAAACAATTTAGAATGCCAATATAAATCTACAAGCACAAAACAGCACTTGACAATCAAGTGACAATCAAAATCATGTATTAAAACATCTTGTACAAAGCTAAATACAAAAGAAAACACCTTGTTTTGTAATAATAATAAGTCATGGTACGCCTGTTACTGTTATTATTTGAATGCGACTCTTAATGGACATGTACTTTTGTATTAGCAAATGCTATTTCCCTCTCTGTAGCCTGGGCAGGCCTTCAGTATGTAACCAAGCTGCCTCAGTCTGCCAAGCAAGTTGAGAATACAGGCCTGAAACACCAGACCAGGAGAGTAAATGGGATTTCTCAATCATAAAGCAGACAAGTATGAAGCTAAAGTCCCCAATACCTTCTTATCGGTTGTAGTTGTCAGAGCTACTAATTTGAGATTTGTGATCCCTTGCCTAAGAGAAAAAAGAAACTGACGTTAAACAAGCTCTGCCTATTCCAGAGATACACTTGCATAAAGTCTAAAGGCTTTCTGAGGGAAGACAGCAGATTCTATTTTTGCATGTGTATAGCTATATACCGATAATAACAGAGGTTCATATTACCTATTTTTTCCCAATGCAAATAGGCAAATAACGAACTGGCCCTTACTTTGTCAGACTGTTTCACAGTGTGGTTTAGAACAAAAAATAAATGACCTGAACAACCAAACAACACTGGAACTGACAGAAGAGAAATGACTACTACCTAGAGTCATAACATACCAGGTAACTGATGAGGGAGAATCTGCTTCTGTAGTAAGAAGAAACTCCTCTATGTGAAGAGGCCAGTTCCAGATGGGCGTGAGCGCGTAAACATCCCACAGGCTTAGCACGTTCTGAAGAGATATTTCATTTACACATCTTTCTTTGGTTTGTAGAAATTTATTTTATTTTAGCTTGTTTTTTGAGACGAGGTCTCACTATAGAATCCTAACTGGCCTGGAACTCAATATGGACACCAGGCAGCCTGGAGCTCACAGAGATCTGCCTTCCTCTGGTTCCCAAGTGCTGGGATTAAAGGCAAGTACCACTATGCCGGGGCTTAGAAATTTATTTAAACTTTTCTGATGCCAAAACAACAATGTTATGATTATTTACATATCTTAATGATTAGAAACTTAAATTTAGGCTGTATTTCCTAATACATACACTGAAATGAAGAATAGTTATACAAGACAGTAATCCACCCCAGCTAATGTGGTTGTCTGTAAATTTGACATTTTTATTAACAGACATATTATTGGGATGGAAGGTATAGTTTAGTGGTAGAGTCCTTGCATAGCATGCAGGATGTCCTGGGCTGAAATCCAAACAAATACAGATCAAATAAACAAGACAATTATAGTATCAAAGGAAAACACTGAAGAAGTATCAGAAACTTACATCAGTATCAAGAACAAAAAGTAGATTGTCTATCAGATAAAACTTCTTTGCACCTACAAAAGAGAAAGAATTCCTAAGAATTTCATTTCAGTATTACACATAGCTCTATTTAGACTATAAACCAGCATTTTTTTTTCTTTTTTTTTTTAAGACAGGGTCTTCCTGTAGCCCCAACAGGCCTGAAACTTACTATGTAGACCAGGCTGGCCTTGAACTCACAGAGATCCACTTGCCTCTGCTGGGAATAAAAGAATGGGCCACCACACCTGGCCTTATAAACCAGCATTTTTTTTTATTTATTATTTTTATTTTATGTGTATGAGTGTTTTGCCTGCGTGTATGTGAGTGCACCCATGTCATACAGTGCCACGGAGGTCAGAAGAGGGCTTCGTATTCCCCTGGAACTGGAGTTAACAAGGGTTCAACGAGGGTTCGTAGCCGCCATGTGGGTGCTGGCAATCAAACCAGGATCCTCTGCAAGAGCAGTCAGTACTCTTAACCGCGGAGCCATCTCTCTCTCCAGCCCCATATACCAGCATTTTTATGGAAAAGCTGAACTACATATAAATGAAGTTCCCATTTTTACCTATCTGTGCCTCTAATTTGGCATTTATTGCTGCTTTCTTGTTTTGAGGTGACCAATAAAATAGAAAACTTCTCCAAAGGTTGTAATTCAAACATGTCAAGAACAGACTTACAAGTGAACACTTAACAAAGAAATCTGTCTCGTTTCACACAAGCATAATAAATAGCACCCATGACCACACCTGCAATTCCAGCATTTAAGAAACTGAGGTAGGAAGGCTGCATCAAGTTTAAGGCAAGTCTGGGCTAGAGAGTGAGTTTGGGGCCACCCTGGACCTACAGTGAGAGTTTATTTTAAAAATGAAATAAAGGGGGCTGGAGAGATGGCTCAGTGGTTAAGAACACTGATTGCTCTTGCAGAAGACCTAGGTTTGAATCCTAGCACCCGCATGGCAGCTAACTGTCCATAACTCCAGTTCCAGGGGATCCAACGGCCTCTTCTGTCCTCTGTGGGTATCGCACGACACAGATGTACTTACATACATGCAGGCAATACACACATACGCATAAAATAAAAATAATAAATAAATAAAATGAAATAAAGGAGCTAAGCATGGTGGCACATGCCTTTAATCCCAGCACTTGGGAGGCAGAGGTAGGCGGATCTCTAGTTCAAGGCCAGCTTGGTCTACATAGTGAGTTCCAGGTCAGTTGGGGCTACAGGGATACCGTATCTCAAAAAAGACAAAAATAAATAAATAAATAAAAAAGATAAAGAAATAAAGGGGGCTGGAGAAAGGAAGGAAGGGAGAAAGGAAGGAGGGAGGAAGGGAAGAAGGGAGGGAGGGAAGGAAGGAAAGACAGACGAGAGCCTTCAAGATGGCTCAGTGGGTAAAAGTGCTTGCTACCAAGCATGATGACCTGAGTTTAATCCTCAGGACCCACGTGGTAGAAGAAAAGAACTGACTTGCAAGTTGTTCTCCTCTGACCTCCACACATGCACTTTGGCATGTGCATGTGCATAATCAATCAATAAATAATTTATTAAAACAATATATTTTAAAACTCAGTTGGAGAGCTATAACAGCACTTGCTGCCAAACCTGACAACCTGAGTTTCATCTCCAGAGCCCACATGGTAGAAGGAGAACCAATTCCTGAAAGTTGTCTCTGACCTCCACACACTCAGTGTGGCACTTGTATGGAAGCACACAAATACCCATACCAATAATATAACATTTTAACATAGGCTTGAGGTACAGTTGACTGGTTAGAGTACTTGGCTAACCTGTACAGCACCCTTGGCTGACCTCTAGCACTGCACAAGTCCGGCATGGCAGTGAATGCCTGTAATCTTAGCATTGAAGGAGTGAAGGCAGGAGGATCAGAAGTTCAAGGTCATCCTAAGCTACATAGTAAGTTTGAGCCTGGGCTACATGAGACACTCTCAAAATAAGTAAATGAATAAAAATTAAAAATGAGGGCTGGAGAGATGGCTCATCGGTTAAAAGCACTGGCTGTACTTATAGAAGATTGGAGTTCGAATGCCAGCACCCACATGGCAGCTAATAACAGTCCCTAACTCCAGTTCCAGGGGATTCAATGCCCATTTATTTATTTATTTTTTTAATATCTTACTTATTATTTTTATTTTATGTGTACGAGTGTATTGCCTGCATGTGAGTGCACCCGTGTCATGCAATGCCACAGAGATCAGAAAAGGGCTTTGGATTCCCCTGGAACCGGAGTTAAGTACGGTTTGTAGCCGCCATGTGGGTGTTGGGAATCAAACCCAGGTCCTCTGCAAGAGCAGTCAGTGCTCTTAACCGCTGAGCCTTCTCTCCAACCCCATCAATGCCCTCTTTTACTCTCTGTGGGCACTGCACAACATGGGTGCACTGGCATGCATACATACATAACACCCATACACATAAAATAACTAAATTAATTTTAAAAAATTGAAAACGAAATGATCCATATGCCAGCACAGGTTTATTAGCATGAAAATTATAACATAAAGCAGTTTCAATAACTCGTTTTTACCTTTAATAATCTCTGCATCAACAAGATTCTTAACTGTCATTTCTTTCTTGGTAAAATCTGGTTCCCATTTTGAGAATGCACAACTACCAGTTCCCTAGAAGAGTGAAAACAGTACATGAATTGGAAATTTTGTCCTAAGACCTGAACTTTCCACAAATGCCACAAGGCAGAAATACATAAGTTGTACACATTACTAATTAAAAATATATGCATATATGTATGCTTATATGTATGTATTCATATGCAAGTCTAACTAGCTTTCTCTATTTGGGAAGACACTAAAGACTGAACCTCCAGGGCCCAGAGCCCTGCTCAAGCTAGGCAAGCACTCTTAATACTGAGCTACATCCCCAACCCATTTTTACTTCATTTTCAGATAGAGTATTGTTAAGTTGCCCAAACTTGTGATCCTCTTGCCCAAGCCTCCTGAATAGATAGGCTTACAGGCTGAGTTTACAGGTATGTTTCCACACACACACAGCTCCAAGAAGCTTTTATTTCCCAGTTCCTCTCTTAGCTTAAGAATAGAATAGAGCCGGGCATGGTGGTGCAAGCCTTTAATCCCAGCACTTGGGAGGCAGAGCCAGGTGGATCTCTGTGAGTTCAAGGCCAGCCTGGTCTACATAGTGAGTTCCAAGATAGATGGGGCTACAGGGAGACCCTGCTTCAAAAAGACCAAAAAAAAAAAAAAAAAAGAGTAGAATAGAAAGAGTCACACTGAGCCAGTCATGCTCATTATTACCACATGAATATTTGATAATCAGGCATATTAGAATGATTCATCCTAAAGACAAAGAATGAAATTTAAAACCTCTTCTAGCATTATGAATTAGGTATAGTCTTTGGTAAATGCTTTTGTTTAAAAAACAAGTATTTGGAAAAACAATTACAGATTAGTTTTAAATTACTGAAGTTGAATAAATTGAATGAAATATTAAACTATGCATGCACAGCATGGGAAAATAACTGCATTTTTTTTTCAAAGATAGGGTCTCATGTAACCCAGGCTGGCCTCCAACTCTCTCTGCAGTGATGATCAACTCTCTAGAAGAAACTTCTTTAAAATATTTTATTTATTATTTTTATTTTATGTGTATAAGTATATTGCCTGCGTGTATGTAAGTGTACCCATGTCATGCAATGCCTACAGAAGTAAGAAGAGGACACTGGCTCCCCTGGAACCAGAGTTATGGAAAGTTGTTAGCCACCATGTGGGTGCTGGGAACTGAACCTGGGTCCTCTGAAAGAGCAACCAGCGCTCTTAAACACTGAGACATCTCTCCAGCCCCAAAACATTTAATTTTTGAGACAGAGTCTCCCTATAGGCCCAGCTCGCCTGGAACTTGCTATGCAGACCAGGCTACCCTTGATCTTCTAGAGATTCACAAGCCTTTGCTTCTCAAGATGGCTCAAAACAAAAAAAGAATCAAAAGAATCTTTGACTCTGTCACCAATAGTAAACACACCAAGCAATGTATTAACAGTATTACAAGACAGTTGTAATGATAAGATTTAAAAGTGATTAATATTAGAGCCAGGTGTGGTAGTGCACACCTTTAATCCCAGCACTCGGGAGGCAGAGGCAGGTGGATCTCTGTGAGTTCAAGACCAGCATGGTCTACATAGTAAGTTCCAGGACAGCTGGGGCTACAGGGAGGCCCTGTCTCAAAAAAAAAAAAAAAAAAGTGATTAATATTTAGTGACAAACTCAGATACCGTTACAATGGAACCTTTTAGTTTCTTTTCACAGATAGATAGAAATATCTATGCTCAAAATTGAAAGGGCTATAAGATGCCTGTCTCAGAAGAATGAAAGAAAGAAAAAAAACAGAAAATTTCAGGGATAGGCTACTGAAAAATAAATATACAATGTTTTTCCAAGATAGAAATTTAACTTTCTTTTAATTTCATGATCCTAATTTTATAATTTCCCTGGTTTGTCACATTACAAATTAATTTGTAATTAAACAAAAAAAAATCAACAAAAACAAAATTTATAAAATAATTACCCCAATTATCACAGGAGTATCACTTGCAAATTCTCCAGCCACAAGACTGAGACAACCAAGGCTATGATAATTTTCAGTAGAAATAAAGTTACACTTGAATTGTCCTTGTAACTGTAAAATTAAAGAAAGTGATATACATTCATGAAACAAAAATCTTTTTAAATCAATCATCTATAAATCTATTTTAAAACAGAAATGTTACTAAAATGTTATATCATAGCAACTTTCAAAATGTCAACCAGTACAACTACATATAGAAGCATTCTCTATGTTGGTATTAGATATAAGTTTAAAAAGGACAATATAATTTTCTTTTCTTACCTTCTTGGCTGAATCCAAGTCTATGTTCTCAATTGCTACATTAAAAAAGAAGAAAGAAGTCTATAGTATTAATCTATAAGTTTATATAGACCCTTTTGGGTTAAAAAAAATTAGCTAGTGTGCCTTTGCCCAACATACACTGTGAATACATGCTTTACTCAGGACATCAACCACATTATCTGTACAGTGCCTTACCAAGTTTTTCTATACCCACATGGCCTTCCTGCCTTACCTCCCCTACTTCTATTCACCCTAAAGTCTCACCTGTAAAGTATTCACTTCTCATTCTGTTTCACAACAGCCCTTTTACCTGTCTAGATCCTGCATTAACTATGGAAATGATGCATCTTAAAATCTTGTCATATACATGGGACATGTACCTAGTATACAGTAGATGTTATTAAAATTTGTCAAAACAGGAGTGGGAGAGATGGCTCAGTGGTTAAGAGCATTGGCTGCTCCTGCAGAGAACCCAGGTTTGATTCCCTGCACCCACATGGCGGCTAACCATCATCTGTAACTCCAGTTCCAAGGGAATCTAACACCCTCTTCTGACCTCCTCAGGTATTGCAGGACATGGGTACCCTTAAATACATGTAGGCAATATACTCATACACATAAAATTTTTTAAAAATAGTTTTTAAAAACAAAATTTGTCCCACCTAGCTCAGTGAGACATATGGTTCATGTGCTGGGTAACTTTAGTGTCAACTTAACACACCTGGGTTGAGGGAGCCTCAATTGGGGAATTGCCTCTATTGGACTGGCATGTGACCATGTCTGTGGGGTATCTTCTTGATTATTTAGTGATGTGGGAGGGTCCAGCCCACTGTGGGTGGTGCCATCCTGGGCAGGTGGGCCTGCGTTGCATAAGAAAGCAGGCTGAGCAGAGGACAGGGGAGCAAGCCAGTATTCCTCCATGGTCTGTGCTTCAGCTCCTACCTCTAGGTTCCTGCCCTGAGTTCCTACCTTAGGCTCCCTGATGAACTGTGACCTGGGAGATGTAAGCTTTCCTTCCCATGTTGGTAGTGGTCAGAGTATTTTGTCACAGCAATGGAGAAACAAACTAGGACAGTTCATGTTACTGGATTACTACTGATTACCATTGTGAGTGCATGTTGCATTGTGTTCTGAGTGGTATACGTATAGAAGTGTATGAGTACAGAGCAAGCACTCTTACCCACTGAGCCATTTCCCCAGCCCACTCAGAAATATTAAAACTTGTATCAACAGCCAGGCTTGGTGCTGGGTGCCTTCAATCCCAGCACTCAGCAGGCAGAGGTAGGTACATCTCTGAGTTCCAGGCCAGTCAGGACTATACAGTGAGACCATCTCAAAAACAAAAAAAGCAAACAAACTTCACAGTCATTATATGGTCATTTCCATTTGTACATTCATTCACACCTTCAAAATATCCATTTATTGTCTGAGATGTGGCTCAGTGGTAGAGCATGTACCTAGCATGCACAAGGCCATAGGTTTTATCTTCAATGTGGCAAAATTTTCTTCCCAATTAAGCTGTAAACTGTTAGAAGGCTGCAACCAAATTAATTTCTTCACATTTTACAGTAGCTTTAGCAGGGAAAACTTAAGTATTCTCTGAATACTTCAAAGTATACCCAATACCACAGGATGCAATAAAATTTAAAAAATTCTTAAAGAGAATATTTGAATATTTACCTGAAAACTAATAAATAGTTCTGCAAATCAG